ACAGCCAGCCCACCGGAGTGGCCGATCACGCCGTCGTCCGAGTCATGCGCCCCCAGGTCGTAGAGCAACTCGCCCCACTCGCATGGCCAATGCTCCCACAGACGCGGGCTCCCACCTCTAGCCGCTTGCTCGAGCTCGATCCCCTCCAGCAACCGCAGTGCATCGCCCGATTCTTGCCCCGAACCATCTGGCGCTGCTCGACCAAGAGGCGACGCCTAGTGTCTGCAGGCACTGGACCCTCTCCATCCCCCGGAACGAAGCGGGTCACGAGCAGCACGTCCTCCCTGCCGAGGGCCTCCTTCAGGCCCAGGAACTCGGCTTCGCTCAACCGCTGGCCGAGCTTCTCGCTCTCGGGTCGATGCCTGGAGACGCGCGCGATCAGCTCCCTCAGCTCCGGTTGCAACACCAGGCGCCGCTTCATGCCCCCGCCCTCCAGTCCTGCAGCGCAGTAGTCCCGCCCCGCAACCGACTGCTTCTCGAGTGCAGTGCCGTCTGCCGACCGGCTCGGATGCGTGAATGGTCTGCGGAAGTCGTGCGAGGTCGACCCCAGCCCTCCGGGGCGCTTCCCGCCATCGGAGTTGGTGATTCCCACGATCCCATCGCATAGCAAGACCTGTGGGAGCACCATCGAGCAAGTTCATCAGGACTGCTCCATCGATCGGCAGAAGCAATAGGTGCAAGGACTTACGGGTTTCATCGAAAACATGCCAAGGTGCCATCACCAATTCAACTGCTATGCCCTTTCAAGCGGCCTCATCTTCTTTTAAGTTCCTCCGACCAGGATGCTCACCTCCGGATGCGGACCGCATATGCTACAGCACTCCAGGATCTGCCGGCCCACCAGCCGGAAGAAGTCGAGGCTGGCCTTCCGCCACGTCTCCTCGGATAGTACGGCGCACTCTGGAGCCCTCCGGAATGCCTCTTGCTGTCCCTCCAGCAGCGCCCCGAATCCCGACTGGCCCCTCTGCATCTGCTTGAGCAGCAACTGGAGGCTCTCCTGTACAACGATCGTCTGGCGGCTCCAGACGTACAGCCCCAAGTGCTCCCCGTCGAAGTGGACGGTGTGCTTCCTGGGGCACTTGCACGAGTAGATTCTGGTGCGCACGGCCTGGCTCCAGGTGGAAGCGTGCACTACCGCGTCCTGCCAGAGCTCCACCCACTCACCACCGCAGGGAGGCGGTTCCAGAGGGCACGGCGCGCTCAGCATCCCGAGCTCGCCGAGCGCTTGGAAGTCCCGGCCCACCAGCTTGCTGACGCGAATCGGTCCGCATCTCAGCCGCATCACCCACGGGTCGTGAAAG